AATTCGACAGCAAGGCAGGATCAAATTTCGAACGTACCGCACAGGGTCAAGGTCAGGTCAATGCAGTACATTCCAGTCCATTACAGTATAGTCCTTTCCAGTTCAGTTTTGTACAGTCACGTCCACACCAGTCCAGTCCAGTACAATCCATGCCAGTCCAGTCCAGTCCACACCAATCCGGTCCAGTCCAGTCCAGTCCATTCAAGCACCGTCCAGTCCAATCCAGTCCAGTCCATTCCAGTCCACCCCAGTACAGTCCAGTCCAGTCGAGTTCATTCCAGTCCAGTCCAGTCCAGTGCAGTTTAACACAAAAAGGTCCACTCCAGTCCAAACCATTGCAGTCCATTCCACTCCAGTCCCTTCCAGTCCATTCTAGTCCAGTCCAGTCCAGTGCAGATTAGTACAGCCACGTCCACTCCAGTCCAGTCCAGTCCAATCCAGTCCAGTCAATTCCAGGCCAGTCCAACCCAGTCCAGTCAATTCCAGTCCAGTCCAGCACAGTCCAGTCCAGTCCAGTCCAGTCCAATCCAGTCCAGTCCATTCCTTTCCAGTCCAGTCCACTCCAGTCCAATCCATTGCAGTCTAGTCCACGCCAGGCCAGTCCAGTCCAGTACAGTCCAGTCACGTCCATTGCAGTTTTGTATAGTCATGTCCACTGCAGACCAGTCCAATCCCATCCAGGCCAGTCCAGTCCAGTCCAGTCCAATCCAGTCCAGTCCATTCCTTCCCAGTCCAGTCCAGTCCAGTCCACTCCATTGCAGCCCAGTCCACGCCAGTCCAGTCCAGTCCAGTACAGTCCAGTCACGTCCAGTGCAGCTTTGTGTAGTCATGTCCACTGCAGACCAGTCCAATCCCATCCAGGCCAGTCCAGTCCAATCCGGTCCAACCGTGTCCAGTCCAGTACATTCCGGTCCAGCAAAGTGCAGTCCAGTCCAGTCCAGTCGAGTGCAGTCCAGTCCAGACCAGTCCAGTCCGGTCCAGTCCAGTCCAGTCCAGTCCAGTCCAGTCCAGTCCAGTCCAGTCCAGTCCACTCGATTCCGGTTTTTACAGTCCAGTCAAGTCCAGTTCAGCACAGTCCAGTCCAGTCCGGTCCCGTCCAGTCCAGTCCAGTCCAGTCCAGTCCTCTCCAGTTGAGTCCAGTAAAGTCCAGTCCAGTCTAGTCCTGTCCAAAGCAGTCCAAACCGGTCCAGACCAGTTCACTCCTGTCATATCCAGTCCAGTCCAGTCCAGTCCCGTCCACACCAGGCCAGTCCAGTCCAGTCGAGTTCAGTCCCGTCCAGTGCAGTCCGGTCCACTCCATTGCAGTCCATTCCAGTCCACTCCAGTTCATTCCAGTCCAGACCTGTCCAGTGCAGTTTAGCACAGTCTCGTCCAGTCCAGTCCAGTCCAGTCCAATCCAGGACAGTCCAGTCCTGTCCAGTCAAGCACAGTCCGGTTCAGTGCAGTGCAGTCCACTCCATTGCAGTCCAGCCCACTCCAGTCCAGTCTTGTCCAGNAGTCCAGTCCAGTCCAGTCCAGTCCAGTCCAGTCCAACCTTGTCCAGTCCAGTCCAGTCCAGTCCAGTCCAGTCCAGTCCAGTCCAACCCGATCCGGTACAGTCCAGTCCGGTCCAGTCGAGTCCAGCTATGCCCAAACCAGCCCATTCCAATTTAGTCCAGTCCAGTCCAGTGCTGTCCAGCCAAGTCCAATCTTGTCCATTCCAGTCTAATCCAGTCCAGTTCAGCCCAGTCCAGTCCAGTCCGGTCCAGTCCATTCTAGTCAAATCCAGTACAGTTCAGCCCAGTCCAATCCAGTCCGGTCCATTCCAGTCCAGTCCAGTCCAGTCCAGTCCAGTCCAGTGAAGATTAGTACAGCCACGTCCACTCCAGTCCAGTCCAGTCTAATCCAGGCCAGTCCAGTCCAGTCCAGTCCATCCCTGTCCAGTGCAGTCCAGTACAGTCCAGCACAGTCCAGTCCAGTCCAGTCCAGTCCAATCCAGTCCAGTCAATTCCTTTCCAGTCCAGTCCAGTAGAAACCACTCCATTGCAGTCAAGTCCAGTCCAGTCCAGTCCAGTCCAGTCCAGTCAAGTCCAGTGCAGTTTAGTATAGTCAAGTACAATCCAGACCAGTCCAATCCAATCCAGGCCAGTACAGTCCTTTCCAGTGCAATCCTGTCCGGTGCAGTCCACTCAAGTCCAGCACAGTCCAGTCCAGTACAGTCCAGTCGAGTGCAGTCCAGTCCAGTGCAGTTTAGTATAGTCA